GCGCCATCCCTCGCCTTGCCCCCTGAGCGACGCTCCTTCAACCTCGCGACGAGGGAAGGACGACACCGAGCAACGAAATCTGCGGCGATAATGCGAAGGGAATGAGAGATAAAACAAAGGCGAACGACTCTACGACCCCTCAACGACCACGCTGGAAGTGAAAACGGTTCCCCCGTGTGTATGTGTCTCTCTCGCTCTCAGGCGTCGGTGTCGCGCGACGGAAGGGAATGCAAAACCGGACGAAACGCAAGGGGAAACTCCTGAAAATCCGGGAGTTTTGTGTTCTCAGCCTCCTAATGAGGATCGCTCGGGATTAGAACGAGGGCCGTGAAAGCTCTTCAAATTGAATAATCCGCTATTCTTCATTTGCAAGATCAGTTCAAGAGGAATAAGTCAGGGGAATAAAAATGCCTAAGACGATTTTAAAACAATGGATGCCCCGTTTTTTTGGCAAGCACTCACAGCTCAGCGGAGCGAGGGAGGGTGGGAGAGTGGTGGGAGAGGGGTAGATGGGAGGGAGAGAGGGAGGGAAGGGAGAGGGGAGGAATGGGTTAAATCTCTGTGAAGTTTGGAATGGGGCGGGGCAGCGGGGACACCGGTTAAGAGGCAGGTGTCCCAGCGCCTGCATTGAACGTCGCCAATACATCTGTTGTCACCCCATACATCTAGGGTTCACCCATACCTCTATTGTCACCCCCCATACACCTGTTGTCACCCCCCATACACCTGTTGTCACCCCCCATACACCTGTTGTCACCCCCATACACCTGTTGTCACCCTATACGCATGTTGTCACCCTCCCATACACCTGTTGTCACCTCATACACCTGTTGTCACCCCCATATACCTGTTGACAAGCATAGTCATACGTCACACATGTGTCATACGTCACACATGTGTCGTAAGCCATAAATACGCTAACTACCATTCAAGTGACGTCAGATATACAACTGCCGCCAACCACAACCACTCATCGTTAACAATTCACCCGTTCCATGAACCATTAAACAACCACGAGCTCTCTCTCTCTCTATGCTTTTCGGGGGGGTCTTAACAATTCGCTACTTGCAGGGTCGTCGTTCGATCCCCTATGGTCCAATTGGGTGGGTGCGGTTCCTTCACTCCGTTTTCACATCCCGGCTCTTTGTACTCCCCCCCCCCCCCCCCCCATATCCTCTTTGTCCTCATATCCCAGCTCCTTGTCCTCATATCCCAGCTCCTTGTCCTCATATCCCAGCTCCTTGTCCTCATATCCCAGCTCCTTGTCCTCATATCCCAGCTCCTTGTCCTCATATCCCAGCTCCTTGTCCTCATATCCCAGCTTCTAGTCCTCATATCCCAGCTTCTAGTCCTCATATCCCAGCTTCTAGTCCTCATATCCCAGCTTCTAGTCCTCATATCCCAGCTCCTTGTCCTCATATCCCAGCTTCTAGTCCTCATATCCCAGCTTCTAGTCCTCATATCCCAGCTTCTAGTCCTCATATCCCAGCTCCTTGTCCTCATATCCCAGCTCATTGTCCTCATATCCCAGCTCCTTGTCCTCATATCCCAGCCCCTTGTCCTCATATCCCAGCTCCTTGTCCTCATACCCCAGCTCCTTGTCCTCATATCCCAGCTCCTTGTCCCCATATCCCAGCTCCTTGTCCCCATATCCCAGCTCCTTGTCCTCATATCCCAGCTCCTTGTCCTCATATCCCAGCTCCTCGTCCTCATATCCCAGCTCCTTGTCCTCATATCCCAGCTCCTTGTCCTCATATCCCAGCTTCTAGTCCTCATATCCCAGCTTCTAGTCCTCATATCCCAGCTCCTTGTCCTCATATCCCAGCTCCTTGTCCTCATATCCCAGCTCCTTGTCCTCATATCCCAGCTCCTTGTCCTCATATCCCAGCTCCTTGTCCTCATACCCCAGCTCCTTGTCCTCATATCCCAGCTCCTTGTCCCCATATCTCAGCTCCTTGTCCCCATATCCCAGCTCCTTGTCCTCATATCCCAGCTCCTTGTTCTCATATCCCAGCTTCTTGTCCTCATATCCCAGCTCCCTGTCCTCATATCCCAGCTAACTTGTCCTCATATCCCAGCTCCTTGTCCTCATATCCCAGCTCCTTGTGCTAATATTCCCTCCATGTGCTATACAGTCATACTTGCTCATAATTACTTCATCTTAATTAATATTTTAATGCTGCTCTGATCAATGTAAACTAATACTGGGATCAGTGTAAACTGGGAGGGAAAATCCTGCAAGAGTCAAATAGAGATAAAGATTTGGGGGGGGGTGATATCACACCGAACCTGTCCCCAGAGGCCCACATCAAAAGGATATCATCAGTGGTATATGCTAGACTGGCCAACATAAGAACTGTCTTTTGAAACTTGTGTAAGAAATCGTTCAGGACCTTGTATACCTCTTATGTCAGAACAATCCTGGAGTATGCAGCTCTAGCCTGGAGTCCATACCTTGTTTAACACAAGATTAAGTTAGAGAAGATTCAGAGGTATGCCACTACACTAGTCCCGGAAATGAGAGGAATGAGCTACGTGGAAAGGCTACGGGAGCTGAACCTCACGTCCCTGGAAGACAGAAGAGTAAAGGAAGACATGATCACCACCTACCAAATTCTCAGAGGAATTGACAGGGTGGACAAAGACAAACTATTAAGGGTGGGTGGAACAGAACAAGGGGGACACAGGTGGAAACTTAGCCACAGAGACACTAAAAATATATTTTTCAGTGTCAGAGTAGTTAACAGATGAAATGCATTAAGCAGTGATGTGGTGGAGGCTGACTCCATACACAAATGTAGATATGATAGAGCCCAGTAGGCTCAGGAACCTGTACTTCAGTTGATTGACAGTTGAGAGGCGGGAGCAAAGAGCCGAAACTCCACCCACGCAAGCACAACTAGATGACTACACACACACACAAAACACACACACACACACACACACACACACACACACACACACACACACACACACACACACACACACACACACACACACACACACACACAAACACATTCACAGTCACTCTCACCACCACGGTCTCTTATCTGCTGATGTTTCTATCCCCACAGACTAGAGCCACGTCCTTTACACAACATCTACCCACAGCCTGGGTAACAGCTTCTCCCCATCTCAACCTACCCCAGGCTTTACGCCCTGGAGAGGCCACTCCTGACCGACAACCAGAGAGCAACTCCATAGTCTCCTGAGACTGATGGATGCCTACTACTACTACCCATCAACATAACCTATTCTAATGCCCCTCCCACATAATCCCCCCCCCACACAGTGTACCCCATCCCCCCCATCCCCCCCACACAGTGTACCCCATCCCCCCCATCCCCCCCAACACAGTGTACCCCATCCCCCCCATCCCCCCCACACAGTGTACCCCATCCCCCCCATCCCCCCCCACACACAGTGTACCCTATCCCCCCCATCCCCCCCCCACACAGTGTACCCTATCCCCCCCATCCCCCCCACACAGTGTACCCCATCCCCCCCATCCCCCCCACACAGTGTACCCCATCCCCCCCATCCCCCCCACACAGTGTACCCCATCCCCCCCCCCCACACAGTGTACCCCATCCCCCCCATCCCCCCCCCACACAGTGTACCCCATCCCCCCCATCCCCCCCCACACAGTGTACCCCATCCCCCCCGTCCCCCCCACACAGTGTACCCCATCCCCCCCATCCCCCCCCACACAGTGTACCCCATCCCCCCCATCCCCCCCACACAGTGTACCCCATCCCCCCCATCCCCCCCCCACACAGTGTACCCCATCCCCCCCATCCACCCCACACAGTGTACCCCATCCCCCTCATCCCCCCCACACAGTGTACCCCATCCCCCCCCCACACAGTGTACCCCATCCCCCCCATCCCCCCCCCCACACAGTGTACCCCATCCCCCCCCCCACACAGTGTACCCTATCCCCCACATCCACCCACACAGTGTACCCCATCCCCCCCCCCCACACAGTGTACCCCATCCCCCCCATCCCCCCCCCACACAGTGTACCCCATCCCCCCCCACACAGTGTACCCCATCCCCCCCATCCCCCCCATCCCCCCCCCCCGTGAACCCCATCCCCCCCCCCACACAGTGTACCCCATCCCCCCCATCCCCCCCCCGTGTACCCCATCCCCCCCCCACACAGTGTACCCCATCCCCCCCGCACCCATTTAGCATTGGTCCTGTACAAGTCTCGTAGCACAGTTGGCTTCGTTCCCGACTCGTAAGCGGAGATTCCGGGATCGATTCCCGGGCTGGACAGAAATGGCTTTCCCTAGTTTCCAATCACCTGATGCTTCTGTTCACCTAGCAGAAAATAGGTTCCTGGGAGTTAGGCGACTGTTGTGGGGTCGTATCCCGTGGGGGGGGGGTAAGTAGGTCGAATTTAAGGGATCTGATACGAGAAAGAATAATATATTTATAGGTGTATGTATTCTGGCTAACTGTCCCCAACAATGGGAATTAAATAGGGAGAGAGAGAAGGTGGGGGGGTGTAGGTATATCTAGTTTCAAAAGTATATCACAGAGTTAATATACTAAGAATATATCACAGGGTTAAAAAGCTTTCTTTTCGTATGACGTTTCGTACAGTACCGTAGGGAGCCGGTCGGCCGAGCGGACAGCACGCTGGACTTATGATCCTGTGGTCACGGGTTCGATCCCAGGCGCCGGCGAGAAACAATGGGCAGAGTTTCTTTCACCCTATGCCCCTGTTACCTAGGAGTAAAATAGGTACCTGGGTGTTAGTCAGCTGTCACGGGCTGCTTCCTGGGGGTGGAGGGCCGCGGGGGACACTAAAAAGCCCCGAAATCATTTCATGATAACTTCAAGATAGTCCCGGACGCAGGTTCGAATCCTCGTCACGGTCCTTGTGGATTTGTTCATATGATGCATCACGTTAGTGTGATCTCTGTGTGTAAGTCTTGGACCCTTATCCAGTCGTCTGGAGTTAATGTGTCCGTGAGTATGCTGCCCGTCAGTCATACTTCCGTGAGTATACTGCCCGCCAGTCATACTTCCGTGAGTATACTGCCCGCCAGTCATACTTCCGTGAGTATACTGCCCGCCAGTCATACTTCCGTGAGTATACTGCCCGCCAGTCATACTTCCGTGAGTATACTGCCCGCCAGTCATACTTCCGTGAGTATACTGCCCGCCAGTCATACTTCCGTGAGTATACTGCCCGCCAGCCATACTTCCGTGAGTGTTCTGCCCGTCAGTCATACTTCCGTGAGTATACTGCCCGCCAGTCATACTTCCGTGAGTATACTGCCCGTCAGTCATACTTCCGTGAGTATACTGCCCGTCAGTCATACTTCCGTGAGTATACTGCCCGTCAGTCATACTTCCGTGAGTATACTGCCCGCCAGTCATACTTCCGTGAGTATACTGCCCGCCAGTCATACTTCCGTGAGTGTTCTGCCCGTCAGTCATACTTCCACGAGTATACTGCCCGTCAGTCATACTTCCGTGAGTATACTGCCCGTCAGTCATACTTCCATGAGTATACTGCCCGTCAGTCATACTTCCATGAGTATACTGCCCGTCAGTCATACTTCCTCGAGTATACTGCCCGTCAGTCATACTTCCACGAGTATACTGCCCGTCAGTCATACTTCCATGAGTATACTGCCCGTCAGTCATACTTCCGTGAGTATACTGTCCGTCAGTCATACTTCCACGAGTATACTGCCCGTCAGTCATACTTCCATGAGTATACTGCCCGTCAGTCATACTTCCGTGAGTATACTGCCCGTCAGTCATACTTCCATGAGTATACTGCCCGTCAGTCATACTTCCATGAGTATACTGCCCGTCAGTCATACTTCCATGAGTATACTGCCCGTCAGTCATACTTCCGTGAGTATACTGTCCGTCAGTCATACTTCCGTGAGTATACTGCCCGTCAGTCATACTTCCACGAGTATACTGCCCGTCAGTCATACTTCCGTAAGTATACTGCCCGTCAGTCATACTTCCGTGAGTATACTGCTCGTCAGTCATACTTCCGTGAGTATACTGCCCGTCAGTCATACTTCCGTGAGTATACTGCCCGTCAGTCATACTTCCGTGAGTATACTGCCCGTCAGTCATACTTCCGTGAGTATACTGCCCGTCAGTCATACTTCCGTGAGTATACTACCCGCCAGTCATACTTCCGTGAGTATACTGCCCGTCAGTCATACTTCCGTGAGTATACTACCCGCCAGTCATACTTCCGTGAGTATACTGCCCGTCAGTCATACTTCCGTGAGTATACTGCCCGTCAGTCATACTTCCGTGAGTATACTGCCCGTCAGTCATACTTCCGTGAGTATACTACCCGCCAGTCATACTTCCGTGAGTATACTGCCCGTCAGTCATACTTCCGTGAGTATACTACCCGCCAGTCATACTTCCGTGAGTATACTACCCGCCAGTCATACTTCCGTGAGTATACTACCCGCCAGTCATACTACCATGTCACACCCGTCAACTCTGTACTCATTGACCGTCCATTGCCGTCACCACCTCACCTGACCAATAAAAATGCCCTCTAAAGGCACTACGGGATCACCATAGCCCGTGCTACTTGGAACTTTTTGTTCCAGGTAGCGAATCTTTAACAACAACAACAACAAGCTGACCAATCACGACCGATCTTCACCTGCCCCGACAAGCGTACGTTTGTAGCCGGTAAAGTTTCTCACTACCTTGAGGTTACCTTGAGGTGCTTCCGGGGCTTAGTGTCCCCGCGGCCCGGTCGTCGACCAGGCCTCCTGGTTGCTGGACTGATCAACCAGGCTAGGTAACAGGGGCATTCAGGGTGAAAGAAACTTGCCCCGTTTGTTTCTGCCTCGTGCAACTAGAGGTACTAGATTACAACCCAATTTGTACGCAATGGGCACACGCTAACTACTGCAGCCTAACAACCAATTCACCCCTTACCCCCCCCCCCCTCCATGGTCCTGTCTATTGTAATTGCAGCCGTCTAGTAACGACTGAGGGGAATTGGGGGGAGGAGTGAATTTTAACAAGACGCTTGCTTCCTGTCCCCGTGGAGGCCACTAGAAATGCTAACTGACCCCTCAGGCAGATTTTAGGTAAATTCAGGTAAAAATCATTTTTTTTCTAAAGGTTTCTCAAAGGTTCTCAATCAGCTTTAATACCATAATTCCCTTTCGGTACTTTCAATCTCTTTCTTGATCCGCCTGTTGAGCTGAACTCAATTACAAAGGGTCGTCACTTTGCTTCATCACAGCATCACGAGTGATGCTGTCATCTCCCGCCCTGGAAACACAAACCGAAACTGTCTCTATTTTCCGCTTGTTACAACTTGTAATAAAGTTGTTACATCTTGGCTTAACGTGCTTATGACGCATTAGAACGTTGTTACAACTTGCTATATTGGTTGTTATAACCGGTTAGGTGGTGTTAAAACTTGTTCGAACGTTGTACCAACGTCGTAGTTTCGGTGTGTGTTTGGCGGGCGTGCATCCTCTGGGGCTCTGCTATTGGTCGTCTAGACGAGATGCTGATTCAGACTACTCTCATCTGTTGCTGAGACATTTACAGGCTGTTAAGAGGGGGGGGAGGGGGGGTTGTTTCCATCTCAAGATGCTCTGATACCAGCTACTGGGATGCTGGTGTTGTTAGGAGAGGGAATGGCGGTAACCTAGTTAATACGAAACCTGTCCATCCGTTAAGAAAAAACGCCATATATATATATATATATATATATATATATATATATATATATATATATATATATATATATATATATATATATATATATATATATATATACATATATACATATATATAACTCCAAAGGTTATTTAGCTATGATTTATGCAGTGTTGCCATTTCCATTGTTCTGTGTTCTACCGGAATACTTAGTATAACTTATTAAAAAAAGGTGTATTATAACTTTTTATAACCACACCCCAAATACATTAACCTAATCTAACTTAACCTAACCTGCACATTGATGCACACACACACAAGTGTGCATCAGTGTTTGCAGACGATGTAAAGGAATGAGAAGAGTGAAGTCAGGGATAGTGACGCATTGCAAGAGGATTCAGACACACTCCAGAAGTGGTCTGAAAAAATGGCTGCTAGAATTTAACCCAGCCAAATGCAAAGTGATGGGGATTGGAACAGCAGTGCAAAGACCAGTACAGCAGTATAGGATGAAGGGGAAAATAAATTATTCAATCAAAAATGTAGAAAGACCTGCGAGTGGACATATAGCAGAATAACGAGAGCCAACATACGATATGTTGGCTGGGATATGAGGACAGTATGCATGTGGTATACTAACCAACATCTTTCTATCCATCGGAAACTTGGAGAAAGGAGCTTTCCGGGCCCTATATACAGCGAAGGTACATACGTAAGACTCACTCTTGAATATGCAGCCCCAGCACGGAACCCATGCCTGAAAAAGGGGGACAATGAGAAACTAGAAAAGGTCCAAACGCATGCAACGAGACTTGTTTCGGAGGGTGAGGGATTGAGCTATGAGGAAAGATTGAGAGAACTGCACCTTACCACACTAGAGGAAAGGAGAGATACGGGGGGACATGATGACAACATATAAGATACTAAGGGAAAGTAGACAAAGCAGCGTTGTTCAGAGCTAGGAACAGCAGAACGACGGGTCATAGATGGAAACTGGATAAGCAAAAGAGTCAAAGAGACGTCAGGAAGAACTTTTTTCAGTGTCAGAGTTGTCAATTTATTGAATGGGTTAGACGCAGGAGTCTTTGAAGATAATTTGATTTAAAAAATGTGAATTTGATGCAAGCGTGAGAAATAAGTCTTTACATTAATCTAAGAACGTTCGGAAGGCGGGGCTTGGAGCCTAACTCGACCCTGCAAGTACATCTAGGTGAGTACACGCAGACAAACACACACACACGCACACACACACACACACACACACACACACACACACACACACACACACACACACACACACACACACACACACACACACACACACACACACACACACACACACACACACACTCACACACACACACACATACACACACACACACACACACACACACACACACACACACACACACACACACACACACACACACACACACACACACACACACACACACACACAGATTGAACCTGAACAGATTGCAGAGATGGTCAGAGAAATGGCTACTAGAATTCAACACGAGCAAATGTAAAGTTATGGAAATGGGACTAGGAGATAGAAGACCAAAGGGACAGTACACAATGAAGGGGAACAGCCTACCTGTAACGACGCGTGAAAGAGACCTGGGGGTGGACGTAACACCTAATCTATCTCCTGAGGCACATATTAATAGGATAACGACAGCAGCGTACTCTACACTGGCAAAAGTTAGAACATCATTCAGAAACCTAAGTAAGGAGGCATTTAGGGCGCTTTACACTGCCTACGTAAGGCCAGTCTTAGAGTATGCCGCCTCATCATGGAGTCCCCATCTGAAGAAGCATATAATGAAACTGGAAAAGGTTCAGAGGTTTGCAACGAGACTCGTCCCAGAGCTACGAGGGATGGGGTATGAAGAGCGCCTGAGGGAACTGTGCCTTACGACACTAGAAAGAAGAAGGGAGAGGGGGGACATGATAGGAACGTATAAGATACTCAGAGGAATTGACAGAGTGGACATAGACGAAATGTTCACACGGAATAGTAACAGAACGAGAGGACATGGATGGAAGCTTGAAACTCAGATGAGTCACAGAGATGTTAGGAAGTTTTCTTTTAGCGTGAGAGTAGTGGGGAAATGGAATGCACTTCAGGAACAGGTTGTGGAAGCAAATACTATTCATACTTTTAAAACCAGGTATGATAGGGAAATGGGACAGGAGTCATTGCTGTAAACAACCGATAGCTAGAAAGGCGGGATCCAAGAGTCAATGTTCGACTCTGCAAGCACATATAGGTGAGTACACACACACACACACACACACACACACACACACACACACACACACACACACACACACACACACACACACACACTCACACACACACACACACACTGAGCCCGTCATCAATATGCAACAGATGCCAGGAGAAGTTGGCACCCCGGGTTTTGCATAAGCTATGTCAAGAGATGCTTTCTTCGGATACTTCTTGCAACGCCCTCCTACTGCAGATCCCCCGGTTCGAACCCCTCCATCATCAACCAATCTCCCTCTCTGCAACACCTTCCCTCCCGCCCCCCTCTTCCCCTCCGCCAGTTTTACCCAATCTCACGCCCCTCCTTGTGGACTGTCTTATCCAGCACTGTCTCTCTGCCTGTCTGTCTGTCTCACTTCGTCTCTCTCTCTCTCTCTCTCTCTCTCTCTCTCTCTCTCTCTCTCTCTCTCTCTCTCTCTCTCTCTCTCTCTCTCTCTCTCTCTCTCTCTCTCTCTCTCTCTCTCTCTCTCTCTCTCTCTCTTAAGGCTACCAGAGGTCACGCGATCTCCCTGCCAACCACAACAGTTTTCTTGTCCTAATTACTCAACTCCTTGTTCTCATATTCACGCTCTTTGTCCTCATATCTCAATTTTTTTTTTGTATCCTCATTCTTGCCTCACTCTCCTCATAGTTCACGCCTCAGTTTAGAAAGCAGGATTCTATCAAAGCTGTTGGTTTCGACTAGATTCATTCAATTTATTTTTAGATGTGGATTCTTCGCTGGGGGGTTATCTTGAGGTTATCTTGAGGTTATCTTGAGGTTATCTTGAGGTTATCTTGAGGTTATCTTGAGGTTATCTTGAGGTTATCTTGAGGTTATCTTGAGGTTATCTTGAGATGATTTCGGGGCTTTTTAGTGTCCCCGCGGCCCGGTCCTCGACCAGGCCTCCACCCCCAGGAAGCAGCCCGTGACAGCTGACTAACACCCAGGTACCTATTTTACTGCTAGGTAACAGGGGCATAGGATGAAAGAAACTCTGCCCATTGTTTCTCGCCGGCGCCTGGGATCGAACCCAGGATCACAAGTCCAGCGTGCTGTCCGCTCGGCCGACCGGCTCCCTTATTCCCGGGGCTTCATATTCACGTGCTGGTCTAACGTACGTGTTGTGAAATGTCGCGATAGTTGCCACAGACGGGCGCCGTCCACGCTTGTCGCTGTGCGTGTGTGAGTGAGGGAGTTTATGCCGCGTGTTCAGTTGGCAGTCATGCAGAGGCAGGTCCCGAATTCTGGTATCTACTGCAGATATGTCGACGACATATTTGAATGTTTCGACAACGACAACACATTGGAGACAGGCTAACTGCGGGGGATGGTGGGAAAGGAATGGTGCCCAACCGCTTAGGCTGGACGGTAGAGCGAGGGTTTCCCTTCATGCAGATTGGCGTTCAATCCCCGAGCGTCCAAGTGGTTGAGCACCATCAGTACATATGTAGGTCGTGCAATACGTGCATGATCGTCTTGGCAACTCTTGCAGCACCACCAACGAACCCGCCAAATCGTTGGGAACAACGGTTACAGTAATACAGAATTCGACGAAATCGTAAGTGAGGAGCTACAGGGAGCCGGTCGGTCGAGCGGAG